TATATATATATATATATAATATAAATTCCCGAGAGACATCTCAGTCTATTACCAAACAATATATCCGACAATTCTATCGTACATATTTACCTGTGTATCACCTCTCAAAGTATCCTCGTACTTCTTTTGCGTCCAGATATGCAATCCTTTCAACTCAACTCGATCGTTGCCTTTATTCGTCGCCTTCTTCTTGAGCCTAGCTTCACTTAGTTTCACAGGCATCTCGCACAGCATGATGTATTTAGGTGCACCTTTTCCAGTCAATGAGAGGGCTTGCACTGGTAAGTCGAAGTAGTCCTCATCGCCGCTCATACTGAAGGTTAGACACGGTGTATTTAAGTATTACAACACTGGTTGTGTTTCGGGATATTTGACTGTAGTCACATATTCATCGTGCCTTTATGTCTCTTGATTCTAACATCAGTTGGTGCATTTATTTATTTACTTTTTGTAGTAGGGTTCTTGGATAGGTTTTTCATATGAGTAGGGTTTGTTGGGTTGCGTGTGACTACAACACGAACACATACATATAAATAAATAAATAGTGGTTATGTGTTTGTGCACACGCGTATAGATAGTGGCCATTATGATGTGACAATATTCTGAGTAAAGAATAACTACGCCAAGAGTATTACTCTGCCATATCTCTCAAGGATGTTAGTTTACGTCAGAGGGGTATTTGATCTGTACCACTCGGGCCATGCCACCTTTCTACAACGAGCATACAACAGCGGAATCGAGATTGCCAATGAGGTTGTAGACGGGACTACGAATGTACGACTCTTTGTACATTTAATCAGCGATCGTATGTGTGAAACGATACGACGTTCATTATGTATACCAGAAGCAGAAAGACGATTCGTGGTAGAAAATAATGAGCATGTATGGATGGCTCGGGTTGCCAGTGACTACGAAGCGGATCTATCGGGAGACCTGGAGATAATCCGCCCAGATGTAGTATACGTGATCAATGATAATACCGATAATATGAGGAATATACAGAGTGTGTGCAAGCGTTTAAATATCACTGTGGTACTGGGGAAACGCACGCAATTGCCAGGGATTGCATGCAGACGTGTACGTAGTATTAAAAAGTTGATACATGATCAGAAGCAGAGACCAGTTTCAGGTTCAAACGGAGCTAGCTCCCAAACGGCCACCACACCCATCAGGGCTGTCAACGGTTCATCTGCACACCCTGGGTGCTTCCAAGGTGAGTCATAGGGGGTGTTCTTGCGTCCACTTGCCTGTAATATATGAACATTGAAAGTATTATTATTTGAAAATATTCTGCTTATGAATATTCATTTAGTTCCGAGTTCAGCATGCACTTATGTATTCACCATGATTAGGAGTCATACTTCTTTTAAATTGCTCTCTTTCCCGAACTTATACCTGCTTAGTCTCGCCAAAGTGTTCCGATTGCGGACGTGTGCAGCCATTGGTAAACGCAATGCGAATACACTCCAAGTAGAAACTCAGCCGCTGCCGAACCCATTACACTCTCGATGTTGTGTTTACCATTTGCTGTATATACACTAACAGAACAGTATGGCAACCGTATAGACCGTACAGACGCTGCCGCAGATGCAATTCGTACCCATCAACCAGACACCAGGCCCAACCAGCCCGCACTACAACGCCCTATAGTATACGTCAGTGGGTGTTTTGATCTATTACACTCCGGCCATGTCGCCTTCTTCAACGAAGCAGCGTCTCGCGGACAGAGCCTGTACGTGGGCTTAGGCAACGATGCGAACTTAGCACAGTTGAAGAGTGGCTCTGTGTTCCCAGAAGAGGAACGCCTCCTATTGGTGGAGAGTATCAAAAGCGTTACCATGGCAACCGTGAGCCGAGGGTTTGGCGACCTGGATTTCGCACAGGATCTGGATGTGATCAAACCGGATGTGTTTTTTGTCAATGAGGTATAGTGTTTCATCAAAAGGCCATCGGCTCTTTGCTGTACGCGCCATGAGTCGGTATCATGTTGTGTAGGTCAAGTCATGCTGTGCTTGTGAGTCGTTATCTGCGCTGACTAGGTGGGCATGCCTGCTTATCAATGGTGTCTCGTCAATTCAATTCATCTGTCTCATTAAAATCTTTTAAAATATCGATGCGTTCGATTTTCATGTACGATATTTTGGCCTAGAGATGAAATTGTTTGAGTGTACCCTCGTCATCCCCGAATATCAGTGCACAAGCTGTCGGGAGGTACCTTTGGTACAATCGCGTCTACGTTCAGACTAACTTTGATGTCATATGCCTGAATGTCATATAGATACAATTCCCTTACTATTGAACAACCTTGGTTGTGTTGCATCAATCATGAATGTGTATGTACCCTCGATTGAACCATTTCTGATTGTTTGTGTACGTCTGTTCAATACAGGACGGCGATAGGCCACATAAACGAGCCTTATGTACAAAGAAAGGAATTGAGTATATTGTGAGCAGCAGGAAACCGCAGGCTCAGCTTCCGCCCCGCAGTTCAACAGATTTGAAACGAGAGTTATCAAACTATGCTACAGAGCCGAGCATACCACACCCCCACGCCGATATGGCACAGAATGAAGTGTCGAGTGAGAACACCTTGCGAGAGGATGCTTCACATACACACAGTACAGCCCCTCCAGCGGCTGGTGACTGCGTGCGTCTGCATGACTTCCCATGGCGCATCTGCCTGACGGGTGGCTGGTTGGACCAACCGTGGGTGAGCCAGGTGGTGAAGGACACATACGCGCAGAGTGTGCGTACCAAAATAGGTACCGAACTGCCCGGGTGTGGTGTGATAGTGGTCAATATCAAGGCGAACGCAGCCTTCAAAACACGTAGTAGCCTTGCAACGTCTTCACGGCGCACGGCACTAGAGTTGTGGGGTGGGTATGACAACCTACCCAAGGAACAGACACGTGAGCATCTGGCCAGGCTGTTGTTCGGGGCCGAGAATCCGCCGGGATGCGAGTATGTGAGTGGTTCACAGGACCACCTCGGTCTCCTGCTACCTGGCTTAAGCTGGTTGGGGTACCGAGGCGGCTACTGGCCAGAGCATATACACAGTCTGTGTGATGCAGACACGTGCGTATGGTTGCAAAGTGTGCTGTGGCTGGTACCGCTGGTCTCACGTGATAGAGAGTACAAGCCTCTCGCGGTACAGAACTTGACTGTAGAGGCAGTCACAGCACTCGCCGATGCCTCAGTAGCGGCCTGGAAAGCCATTGAGGACCGAGATACCGCGCGTTTGGGGCAAGCTCTTAAGGATACTATGTACGCTCAGCGTTGCATCCTGCCAAATACCATCCCTACACCCGAGGTGGAAGAGTGGACTGGTCCGTATGTGGACACAACGCACGGGTACATCTGTGGACATGGCGGAGGTTTTCTGTTTGTCATCAGCGATACACAGGTGTTGAATGGCTTCCAGGTGGAGATAACGACTAGTGAAGGACTGTGAAGTCTTGCCATCGAATGCGACCAAGTGCCAGTATTGTAGAGCATCGATGTAACATTGCGCTTACATGTGCACCTACGTTGTAGCATTGGAGCACTGATGTCCCAGCGGCACTGAATACCGGCTCGTGTACTCTATCGCGATAGGAGCAACTAAATCGGAATCGCTTTACTGAGTTCTGGGTTGTTTGACGCAAGAATGGGAGAATCAAATATATTTTCTTCTCCCTATGTTGCTCAAGTTAATGCGTCGTCACGAGGCGTCTAACGCTGTAGTCTGTCATGAGATGCGCAATCGGTTGTGCGGGATGCTCGTTTGTAGATATTGAATTTTACACTGTAATTCCAGCACTATCATTCTGTAGGCAAGCCTATGATCAGCCCTGAACATCTACAAGCATACGGCAGCTGTCGTTTGGTGAAGAAGACCATTGTATATATATATATATATATATATAGATATATATATATATATATATATTTATGTATATATATATATAGATATATATATATATATATATATATATATATATATATATATATATATATATATATATATATATAGCATTTTTATATATATTTAAATGTATAGTTGGTGATTTTATCCATGCATACATATGCATGGATATATAAGTATATATGTTTAAATAGGTATATACAACTTCATTGGATTTATATATATATTTCTGTTAGGCATGGTTATTTAATGTCTAACAAATATTAGCAATATTCTTGTATTAAAGAAAGGGGTTGACATATACAAGTTCTGATCAAGCGTATTCCCATACAGCGGAAAACGCTCTGGTTTCATTGGTTGGTCAGCGCGGTATATACTTATATATATGTGTGTGTGTGAGTGAGTGTGTATGTGTGTGTGTGTGTGTGTGTGTGTGTGTATATTATATTTATATAGATATATATTATATATATATACATATAAATATATATATATATATATATATATTAACTTATATAATTATATATATATAT